TATTTTATTTTACATTATACATTGATATGAGGTAGACAATGTTAATCGGATCTGTTCGTCGACTTATAATCATAACTCCACACTAACTTCAAAGAATGTTTACGATTCAATTATTACTGGTCGTAGAGAAGATCATTTGTTATACATTTCACTAAATTTCTAAATTCAGTGTTATCTATCTACAATTTATACATCTGGATAATATCATCAATAACGTTTACACATTAATTTTAATATAAGAGTGTATAAGTAACTGTTGCTTTGATATTAATGTTTGTATGGAAAAAGTCTTTATTATATTCGTTAATCCCTTATTGACGATTCTACAATGATAGATTTGTTCCTATAATTTGGTGAGGAAGATAATAGTGCTTCTTATTCACTACTAAGAACACATGAATTTCAGTCATTCTATCTCAAGACTCACTCTCACTTCATTTATTTCAATTTATCTAAGCCGACAAGATTATTAATACTTCTCTTTCTCTTACGCACACACTATATAAAAATTGACTCAAAACCATAAATATATAGACCTGTAAAATGATGATAAATGAATGTCATGAACTCGTTTGGGATTTCAAATAAACGAATAAATACGACAATAACAACGGCAAACAAATGATAATAAATTCGTTCTCATTTTCATGTACCCAATACAACCAAACTAACAGTTAACTGTGATGAATAATTTTTCTTTTTCAATTTTATTTTCTTTCCTCAATCTTCCTAGGTAATTGAAACCAAATCCAGTATTGCTGCTAAGCAGAGGGAATTGGATAAATTACACGCTCAACTGAAACATATTCATCAAGATCAGTATAGATCACACGTACAGTAAAAAGAAGAGGAGAAAGACAATAACATAGAAAATAAACAAATGATTGCTGTTGTTTTCTTTTCTCCACGTTCATTGTCAATTTACGAAAGTTTGTGTTTATATTAATTCTTCCATCACCTCTACAATTTTATAACTGCATTGTCTTTTTTGTTGAAAAGACTAACAAACTATTTCAGAAATACGATGTTGATTTACGCGTTACTGGGTTACTCACTTCACAATGATGCTTGAGTGTATTTGTGTGAAAGGTGGATCTTCTTTTGTTAACTAATAAAGACAACTTACATTTTCCATATAAGTTATTATGTCTTAATTCACGTATTATCTTTCTGTTCTGTTCTTTTCTTGGAATCTATCCTCAAATCTACCTGATTCATATGTGTATATCTTTGATAATAAGTAGTAGTGATTCATTTCTACTGATTGAATCCGTGATAAAATACTTTGTGTTATCTCAGTTCGTCAGAAGAGGGATGCTTTTGCTCTCTCTTTACAGTGGACCTGTAATCTATTTTTCGTATCATTTTTTGACCATAAATAATTATGATCGGGATACGCGTATACGGATGTACGAAATGCTTATATACAACTGGAATAGTACAGTAATAAATGCCATACGTGCACACAAATAAACACACTTAATACCTCTATAGCCCATTATAATTATTGTTCCTTAGTATAATTGGTAATTTTCCGGTTTTTACAAATCATATTTTCAAAAATACTACTATAAACCTTTAAACGAATGCTAAAATTACTTGAGAGTACTTGTTACACACCATATATTTATTTATACAACAGATTTTTGACTGATTCAGTTTACTTTTTTTCGGATAAACTTATCTATACTGTTGTTGCCTATGGTCACAGTCTATGATTGTGCTTGTCTGTGCTTGAGTATTACTATGTTCCGATTTATTCACCGTAATCAGCTTCCTATAATACTTACAGAGACCAGAAATCAAGTATTTTGTACAAATACACCTTAGTATTATTGTTTTTTTTTCTAAATTTCACACTATCCGATAAGAAATGAATTGATGATAATTAACCAGATAATTTTATTGGATTGATTCTCTCAGTACTCACTATTTCACCTGAACATAACTAAACATAACAATAATAATAATGCACAGAAAACACAATTACAGTTATATTTACCTGTTTTATTGCCTTGGCTTCCATTTCTTATATATATATATATATATATATATGTCCCTCTTTTACCTCACTTTTTATACAAATTGACTAAACACTTTGTAACAAAATTCCGTGGTTTCTAAGTTGTATTATTTTTTTAATTCGTTGATAAATTTAATTCTCAGTTGGTCGACTTTTTTTCATTTTTTTTTAACAAAAAATCTATTTGCAGACTTATTGGGAATATAAAGTGTCGTTTAATTTTGCATTGAACATTTTTCGCGCTAAGTTTTGTAAATCATTTGTATCTATTTAATGTAAGTTATTGATTAGTAAAAATGTAATGAAATCAAGCTATAATCAATAATACTAGTGTTTCCTTTTTCTACTTGTTACTTGTTTGAAATATCTCATCATAAAAGCATTTTCAACATGATTTGATGGACAACATAGGCTTCATGTAAATTTAATAGTTAAGAAAAATGGTAGTACAATACTGTGTAGCTAGATTTATATTGTATTGCAAAGAATTATCTACAACCTTACAGCGAAGGTTGTGAAAGTAAAATGAACTGAAATCATATGAAGTAGTTTATTTGTCGCACCTATATTGATTTTAATGTTAATAAACGAATTGTGAACCTTATTAAAAGTCATATAGGAAGTTTGCGTATTTCCTATTTTTTGGTTTTCTGTAAGGAATTACTGTCTCGTAGCATATGTAATACGATTGGCTAATAATTTCTATTAAGGTCGTCGGTATAGCATCATTTTAGCAATGACATTCCAATTTATTCAATAGTTGGATATTATTGTCATAAAGTTTCAAATCTACGCTTTTTAATTGTAAGCTATCACTAAGAACGATCGTTTTACATGCCAGCGGATCTGTATGCTTCATTAAAAAAGTTAAACTAGTCCAAACTCTAAGGTATATTATGAATGCAATTGACAAATTTCAATTAGCACTGGTGTAATGGATACAATGATGTTTAGTCATTCATTTGTGATGAGCAAATGAGACTTAACTATATACTAACTCATAACAATACTGTCTTTAATCAGGATTTATTAAACGATTTTGCCATGATTGTGGTTTAACATTACAATTAAGTTCATCTGTGTAGTGCTCAAATGTTTCAAACAACATGAATAGATACAACTGGTTGATCACTGAGTATTGGCCGATGTTATTTTTTTCTAGCCCTTTAGTGATAATTGCATTAAATCAATCAAGTCAGAATGTGGTAATTAGTCTGAATGACCAGCCATCGCATACATTTTAATTATTCATCAAATTATACAAATTCGTGATGTCTACAGTAAACATAATTATATTGTTTAAAACAACGCTCTGACACAATCTAATTTTTGAAGTTGAAATGGGTATTCGAAAAAGAGGCAACTGATCACTATGTAGCGACCGACGTCACTTTTTCTCGTCCTTCGAAAGAGGTAAGAAGCAATTAAAAAAGCAAGAAGCCAAAAAAGTCTGATAGTAGGCACAGCAGTGTTTTTGTTTATTCATACTATGGTAAACTAGAGATATAAAGTAGGAAAGGGAAAACCACATTTACACAGAATCGTCTTAAACACCAGTGACTACTCTGTAATATAATGTAATTGAAATAAACCTAATGACTTAATATTACTGGATAAGCAAACAAAGATGAACCATGTTTCCTATTTATTTAGTTGAAAATGTTTTATTTCACTGCCTTTTGCAAAACAAACTAAAGGTGGCGTTCGTATTTGCTAATCATTAAGTGCTCGGTGACTGTACTTGTAAAGATGTTGCAACATTTTATGGATTGTTCAGAATATCTTTTGGAGATTCTTCACTATGTAAACTGGTTATAGCAAGATCAATTAAAGCTGTACGATATTACACAACAGTATTATATATATATATATATATATATATATATATATATATCCTTGAGGCAGTTGGAACACTAAATACACTTTAAATATCTTCATCCTCGATAATCTTTAATAAGGCTTTATATAAAAATAAATACTTTCTTCCTATCCTAATACATGTATAATTTTTCGACTGTTCACGCGAAAATAGTTTCCTTACTGTTAGCCCAATCAATTGGGAACAGTGTATAGAAGTGACCAGACTAATAACTGCCTCGTGACACCGAACACCAGATCCAATAGTTTTTAGTAAACAGAACAATTGATCAGCTGACTAACTTTAAGAAGATATTGGAGGACGTTGGAATTATTATTATCAATGTACACAATATTATGACTACGTGTAAATTACTAGATATCAAGTAATACGCAAGGCTCAGAATGAAGTCCATACAACACAGTAAAAACTAGCCAGTAGTAACATTGGAGTAATTCACCGAAATAAGCAGTAAGTATTTCTTGGACTACTTTGACTATAATAGAACCTCAAGCTTTCTCCACTCGCTCCTACATCTGTATACAACATAGAAATTGAACAATATGAAATAGCTTTCCAATAATTCTAAGTTTATAATAGTCGTCTTATCTGTCACATAGAAAAACAACTTTTTAAACAGTTACAAATCGTAAATCATGTTTCTTCTTTACAGAATTTATAAATACAAGGCTGATATTTGAGAATATAAGCACTTCAATAAATATTTACAATAAGTAATGAATTAAGTAGTAGGTAGTATTTGCAAATAACTTCTATGGTACATAAAATAAGACACATTAAATCTTTACTAAAGATTGAATGCCCAACATCTTTGGATTCATAATCACAGTTAAAAGAGTTTAATATTAAAAGAAATAAGTATAAAAAGGAATGTTCTGGCAACTATAAAGAAAATATTACTGATAATGAATTTGACAGTAGTGGTTGTATTAGAAGTATTTTTTCACTTATTTAACAAAAACATTAGTGTATTAGAAGTAACATTGTGCAACTACAACAAAAGTATTACATCAGTAGTGTAATTATTATGATAAATATTGTCTATACAAAACAACATTTTCTATTTCTCATTTCATATTGTCACTATTCTAGAGCTTATCAGATTAATTCATAAAAACGTCCAGATGTAGGATCATAGTAACATTTTAATATTGGATCATAAATTAATTCGATAAGTCCATGATTTGAATTTACATCAAATGGTTTGTCAGAACTATTATTATTGATCACTTCTTTATTAACTGATCCAGTATTTTGTAATTCCATTTGATTCACAGAAGATGTATGTTCTACTAGTTGATATGATTGAGGCAAGGGTGATGTAATGCTTTCGCACACTGAATATGATATACTTTCATTAGATGAGCTAGAAAAACATATGCCATGAGAGGTGTTCAGTGAAAAGTTGAAACGAAAAACACGAGAAAGTGAGAATTTCAATCAATATTAGTAAGTTATTATTTATTTATGTATATTTAACAAGTGGATTTTCTATATCATAACAATTCAAGAACTGGGAGATAATTATTTCGTCTTACTTCAGGTTTTCTCAGTAGTGTGAACTCATGACCTCGTCAGGTTTCGAACGCAAGACTTTAAGGTCTGTTAGTAAGCATTACACGTTTAAAGAACTTAGCCAGGATTCACTGGTTCATTTTTCTATCTCCGGTCATCATATGATGTAATATGTTTCTTTCCCTCGGTTATATAGTCTTTCTCTAGCCAGTTAAATCAATATCAAATTAGTAAAGTAATTTTTCATTGAGATCGTTGATGCCAAACATTCCAGTCATCTCTTGTGCAAAGTAACTCATAATACACTCTTAGGAAAACTCCTGTGATGAGCCTGGATATACTTACAATCATTTCACAGATATTTTTGAGTGAAGTTTCTTATTTAAGAATCGGACTAATTAAATAAGTCAATAACCTTTGATTCTTTCGATTCATTGTTATAATTGTTTAAAACATATATTAGTTATAGTTTTGATGAAGGGCGTTTATGAAAAGCTATGAAACGGCTTAACCAAGGCTTCGTATCAGACCATAGATTCGTTAACTTATGAACTAAGACGTGCTAGTAAGTGCAAACTGCCTAGTTAAAGTACGCGTGATAGTTACGATCAGTAGTTGGGAATTGAGCTATACCGCTCAGAATCGATCACAATAACGCGGATAAACTCACTCTTTATCTTCTGTTAGCTTTTGTGTTCCAGAAATTTGTCATATACACCTTTTCATTTCGTCTTCTGGAACCATATTTTAAATGTATTGTCTCCACATTATCCTCTCTACTACAACTATTTCAACTTTGCCATTCATCTTACTTGTTTTCATCTCTTCGTGGTAATGTGCTATTGCAACTTGAATTGAAGTGCATTTAAATCAAATACTACAGTGGTTATAACTGGTTGACTTACTCAAGTCTTAAACCAAGTTATAACTGATTTTAATGTTATTTCGCATACTTTGATTCAGTTCATCAATTAGTATTAACTACAGAGTAATACACGTAGTCTTGATACTAGGTTACTGTGATCTACACAGGGAATGAAATTAATTGATATCAGCTGTCGCTACCGATTTTATCTACCTATAGTTTTCATCATGTAGCGTTCAATAATTAACAGACTTTTAGTAAGATAGTTATATAAAATAACTCACTTTGCTGTTTCAGTACCCCAATGACTGGACAATTCAAAACCTGTAACTAATTGTGATACATCATCTGTACTGTGTGTACGTTGATGAACCATCGATGATGCACGAGAAGGGGTAAGTATAGCAGGATCATCTTCTTCTCTACACGTGTAACCATTTTGTTGACAAGTGCTTGTTTTTAATTTTGTCAATAACTGGTTATTCATATCCAGTAGTAAGTTACCATCACATCTTTCATGAACTAGATGCTGATCCTCATGTTCGTAATGCTGATGATGATGATGACGTGCCAAGTGATAACGTAAATAAATTAATGATCCTAAACCATCGGTTGTTGTGGTATCATCGCCCGCATTGTAATTGTCATTGTCACTGAAACTGACATTTAATATTTGTTTTTGAAGTGCAACCACAATATCACATTTTTCATTTTTAATTGTACTTAACATGTTCTTTTTCAGATGATTTAATGATGGACCTAAAAAGTAAATAAGACTAAATCACTGATAATTTATCTGATTTAATTGCTAGTTTCACAGACCTACATATAACATAAATATAGCTTTAGTTACAATTATATGTCGAATGACCACTAAATCGTAAAAAGTACTGGATAGTAGACAGCAGGAAGTGGGAGACCATGCTTCTCTATAGAAAAACAGATATCCGATTGATCCTATAGCAGCTTTTAAAGTATTGTATCGTATTAGTCAGCATCTCATTCTTAGACTTGTGGAATCCTTAATAGTAGAATATTTACGCCTCTGACAAGTGTTCTAACTTTTAATCTGCCCTAGTAATCTTTCATTCATTTAAATCTTTCGGATGGTGTGACGACCTTTCTTACTATTATACAAATGACCGATTTTTGAGTAGTGACCAATGTCATGTTTGTCTACTCCTTTAGTGCTGTTCAAATTCAATCAATCGATTCGTGATGTGGCCGCTAGTCGAAGTGACTTGCCGTCACGTACACTACGTTGAGATGTTGGGTGCTTAAAGGCAGTTGGTGGGAAACCCTGCACCTAGATTTCGTACTATCCGGCACTTGTCAGTAAGGCTTAGCTGTAGTCTTGAGGAAACTTGTGATCCCTGACTGATCCGATCCTGTTCCATCCAGCTTTACGTTACTACTCAGCTATTCTCACTGCAACTGACCTACAACTGATTGATTACTGAGTATTCCCATCATTTTGTTTTGTATCTCTCATATTTCCAATTACCGCTCCGTATTTGTCCGACATTTTGTTGAAGTAACCTTCACTGGTTTTCAAATTGTGTGTGTAACTAGATTGTTTGATATCCATTGTCCAACTACATTACACTTCCCCGTGTTCTGATAATAATATTGAGATTAATTGAGTAAACTTCTGAAAACACAGAAATCCTGGTCAACATTTTACGCGATTTCACAATTGATCATTCAGTCAATTGGTTAGTGGTACCTAATAACCAAATACAGATTTATTCACTTAGATTTAATCGAGATTTCAGGCTTAAAAACTAATACTGCCAAACTATGTTCAAATTTTGTGAAGCAAAGTTTAAATTTTCAATCCAGAAGTTGAAAGTTGACTGTCTCAATGATTAAGCCATCGCTTCACGCTGATTGGGAAATAATTTCGACAGAAGTGTAATAAGAACTTACATATTAATTCGTGAATGTGCACTGCTGAGGAGTCCTACATTAGAAAGAAGTGATTGCACAAGACTCCCTAGTTTTTAATGCCTCGCTATCTAACTTCAGTACTTGACGAAAAAGTCTTTGAAAAATAATAAACTTCAAAATCTTTATTACAAATGTCCTACATGTGATATCTATTATCTATTGTTCATTGAACTTTAATTCCTAATAGCTGACACCAATCTAAGTATTCATATCAAATTGTTTATCAGACTAATGAAAAAAAATCATTTATAAAGTATGCATAACACCAATAACATATTGAGATCATGAACCGATCATTGAAAACCTGGAAGCACTGAATGGCCGTGCGATATCGTGAATTGGTTGAACATAAGCATTAACACCGTTAGATCCTGGTTCTGTGATTTAAAGGTTTAGCGTTCACACGAGATCGAAAGCCCTGAGTTCGAGTCCAGGGTGCAAGATGGTAGGTGCTCACTGCTGAAGAGTCCCATATTAGGATGAAACTAGTGTCCAATGCTTCCGGATGTTCAATGGTGTTTTAACACTGATCGGTTTATTATCCTAATGTAACTCAACAACCTTCACAAACCTATACTGAATAATAAAATATGTTATACAAGAAAACGTTTGAAAAAGAATTAATACTTTGTGATGGTACTGGTATTGATTTTGATATTTCAGAATGTGGATATTTTGCATTTGTCATTGGTGTTGTAATTGTTTCTCTTAACTTGTTATTGTGATCATCACCGGTTATTTGTTGTTTCGATGATGATAAAAACTGTAAATCAGGTTCTATAGCTTCACCAAGTACTGCTTGTTTAAGGCTAGCTAAAAGTGACGCTTCAAAACTGGCGGATAAATCGTCAGATTGTTCATATCCGGCTAAATTGATAGGAGGTGGTGTACAAACTGTTTTATCATTTTCATCATTTATATTAGATTTATGTGGGGCGGTTTTTTCTAATAAATTCTCATTTGTTCCCATGATGGTGTTATCATTTGATAAGGGAGTCTCATTATTTAAATGATATGGAGTAGATGCCTAAAATAAGTTTAAGAAAAAATAGTATTTAACGATAGGGTCTCATTAATTTTGTCGAAATAAAATTGTTTTAACTAACTAATCATCATTTGAAAGTATAATGTAGCGATATGACTTTTTGTGAAACAATGGGTTAACAGTAAAAGAACTCGGTTGTGAACGATTATGTTGCAATTTCGAAACACATGGTGTCTAATCAGAGACTACAAAACCCGGGAACCATTACTAGTCAATCTGAGATAGTTACTTAGCCGTATATGATTTGAGTTAATTCATCTAACAAGATTTCGTATAGTTACACTTATAATAACCACACATAAATAAATTTCCAATATGTTAATACATTCATTGACAAATAATTATAAAAAATATCAAGAATCATAATGAGAACAATCCTGTGAAATTTTGATATTTACCCCCAGTAACTATGGCCATTATTTATTTGAAGCGTGAACTTAATTACCGTAACCAATGAGTTTTTTAGTATTTCTTGCACACTCGTAGAAATTTTTCGAAATAATAAAACCTTTTTATTAACATTCATTATTTCCAAAAATAGATTAATATTCTGACTAGAATGCTTAGAAATAGATATGTAGTTTAAGGGTATTTTTCAGAATTTAATATGAAGGGAGTATTCACTGTTCTTTATTACTGTTTAGTTAATTTGGTAATTTAGATACTGAACTATGATGCATTTTAGGTCAACAACTTTAAACCACTCCTAAATGTTCTACAGACAGGTATACTCATTCATATTTATATCTGATTCGTCTTTAGTGAATAGAAGCTGAGCATTTACATTGATAGTAAGAGATTGTGAAAATATTCGGGCAATATCGTGGATTGATTGAAACTAGACTTGCATCTAGAGGTTAAGTGTTTGCACATGAAGTCGAAAGTCCTAGGTTCGATTCCCGTTTACGAGGTCGTAGATGAGCTCTGGAAAGGAGTTGTAAACTAGAAAAAAACGACCTTATATTACGAAAGGAGGAGGAAATTAAATTTAAAAACAAGAAAGTTATTTCCAGAGTAAAATGTTTAGATATTTTCTTATTTTTATTAAAAAAACAATTACATTATGGTACTTTACATAGTACTAACTGTAAGCTACATGTTAACTCATTAACTATCGATATCTCTTACTGTTTATAAAATCCAACCAACTAAGTAATAAATGGATCAGTTGATTTCATGTTAATGTCCTAATTATATAGGTAACAAACTTTACCAGTTTTAATGTATTATGATTTGGTATTTTACGCACATAATTAACGTTTTTGTAGTTGGGGGCGTTGTTGATATGAGTTAAATAAGTTTTGTGGTAATTAATTCATCAAGTTTATATGTTCATAAGAATATTATGAGAATAAATCAAGATTCATTTCCCAATTAAACAGACATATACTGCGGAAAGTATATAAAGACTACGTATTACATTATAAATTTCTAAGAGAAGAAGGTTACAGAAATGAAGTGATGATTCATTGAGTATACTTAAGAAAAATGCTTTACAAGAACTAGTTTATCCAGTTTATATACAATCTATTAAAATCTCCCATATTTCATAGTATCTCTTAAATTGATTACTAAATGGTCATACAATCTATGGATAACTGACTGCCATTATCTGTTCAGTGTTACAGGTGATGAATCACAGTTCGAACAGTTTATTGGTAACGTCTTTGGATATTTCACTGATCGATAAGGACTTTAATTTACAAGAGACCACAACCTCTTTTGAGATTGTAAAAACATCTTAATGATAATACCTGTCTAGCACAGAATCAAAGAGTATTCAAGTACTATCTCTAACCATTTCACTCAAAAAGATATTCAATGAAATCCTATAGGATAAATATTAGGATAGAGAAATTATTTAGTAAATATTATCAAGAAAAAGGTTTTAAAACCAACAGCATGGTTATGTATCAAAAATGACCTACTACTGTCATCGATCTATTGACTACACTGTAGTGGCAATTTGAAGGACTCATGTGCCATGAACAAAAAAGGCTAAGAGAAAGAATAACGACTCATTAGGCGAAACTATCACTTTGTAAGACAGCTATCGACGATTATGAAGAATTATGAAGTGCTGTGTAATTTGATGTTGAAAATGAAAAGTTAAACCAGTAAGTTGTCACTAATTTAAGTGGTAGAGTATCATGATGACAGCTAGGAGGTTGATGATACCAGTTTGACTGTTAAATAAGATACTGAAATTAAACTGACATTTGTACGTGGTATATATTCAAATTTTAACTTATCATGGTCAGTCATATCCACCAAACGATATATATATATATAAACCATTGTATGACTTACCATAATCACTTTAAATTTCAAATCTGCATCAGTTAATTCTTTTAACGAATGATGATCTATCCTTATACGTTGTAAATAAGGACTTTTTGAGCAGATTACAATGTTTCTATTCTCCATTTTTTCATCGATCTCTTTAGTTTCGATATCTTTAATACATGATTGCGTAAAAAAGCTTGGTGCAGGTTGAGGTAGACTATTAAATAAATATAAACTGCCTAAACGAATGGACTGATATTGTTTTTCTATATCATATTGTTGTTGATAGGACTGCTCTATTTCCGATTTCATATTATTCATAACTTTGAAGTGATTGGAATTGATATTTTCTTCTGGATAATACAATAAACTTGTAGAATTTTTGGCAGTACTAGTTAGGCGATTGGAAATGGCACCGGCGCTAAAACTTCTTGGACTGTAGTCGTATGATTAAGAAGAAATAGATAAAGTAAGTGCCGGAAAAACTTCTGATAAAATCTAAATTATAGCATATAAATGTTTCTTGGACCAATAACCGAGAATGTCTAATTATATATATATATATATATATATATATATATATATATATATTACATTTGCATTATCTATGACAAAAATAGCAATTTCAGTGTCGTACTGTAGTATACGAGGACTCAGGTATGGTAAACAACTTTATTGTTTGACGCAAAATCACACAGTTGCTCAGTAAAATCTGGAAAACATACATTAGATACATTATTTGCACATCTTTGTGTTATCCTTTACATGCTCCATTATTCCTCGAGTCCATTTGTTATTTCGATTGCTCTCCGACTTCCTTGCCGTTCTCTTCATTTCAATCTTCTGATGGTAGACACTCCATTTCCGATTGCTGCTACATACTACTTATATCTTTCAGCACAAGTACCATACACCATAGTACTACAACAGTACTATAAATGCTTTCAGTCGACTACCTTTACATGAGAATTGAATTTGAACTAAGAATTTTGTTTACGCGATACTGTACTGAAAAGATTACGCCACTCAGACTACAAGTTGGATATACCTCACACGTTGAATTCCATTGAAGAGGAAAAAAAGCCTAATATATGATCTCTGTCAGAGAGCTAGAAGAATATCAACGGAAGACACAGGTTACGTCAAATGGAATAAAATCAGATAAACACTTTTGGAAAAATACTTTCCTCTTAGCTTCATAAACGCGAAAACCCCTATAATACTAAATGTATTGTCCATTACCATCATTCTATCAGGAATCTTAATATACGACTCTGGAGATCTCTAAAAAACATCTTCCGTTAAGTTGACCTATTAATTTTCGTGATCCGACAATATATAGACAATAATCTGCCGTTTTCGGTCACCACAATATTCAAGCAAGATTCGCTTGCTATTGTGGGGCATACTTTAATGGTAACACAATACTTTCTCTTTTCAAACGCGCCTCAAACTACTACCCACTGTGCAGTCAACAGCTTCGAGCATGAACAATCTAAATTTGATCAACTATCCCAACTGTTATATCCCCTGGTGAATTATGAATGGTAAATCTGAGGTCTATTTATGGACAAATGTAATATGCCTATTTCCTATTGTATAGTTGTTAAATAACTGACCTAATCGTATTCGTGTCCCTCTTATCATAACCTTTATTTTGACCTTTGAACTATTATTATTGATTACTTTCCCCCTATCCACAGCCACATTGGCCAATTATTGTACAAATATTATTCTTTTATTTTTTGGTATAATGTGGTCTGTTTGGTTTGTATATAAACCCAGTATGCCTGTGAATAATGATTCATATTGCCGAGGCTGTTATTTGTGTTCTGGACTTAACTGGCTGGGCTAGGCAGAAAGCAGGGCCATACGCAATCAAGACTGCTCGTACAATTTCAAGTATCATTTGCGTCCGATCAATAAATTCACTCCTCCCTAATTGCACGTTCATATATATTAAGAGTCCATACGTTATAACACCAACAAAAGTCACCACTCAAAATTATCCACAAAGTCAAAAGAACTGACTTTAACGAACTTTGAATCAGATATTTGTGTACAACAAACCAACCCACATTCTAATCTCATGAATCGTCATTAACGTGATTATTGTTTATATTTTCCAAATGGATAGTTATCTTCCACATGTTAGTTGCCAGTTTACTACTTTTCATTAACATTTAACTATTACGTAACTTCTATTTAATACATCAAACTTTTCAATAAAATTATGATTTATTGAATTTACATATGAGAATATCAGAAAATACATTATCGATATTGGTCTCATTTATTTTAAAAGCAAAACGTTGAACAATTTCAGAAATTGATATCACAAAAGACTGAAGAATTAAAAATATAGTATTCATAATTCAAACTTTTAGTATCATAGGTATAAACAGTATTTTATCGTTAAAAAGTAGCAATTTAATTAGAGTTTTGTTCTCCGAACCGGATGATTTATTCGTGGAGGTTTCATTGCCTTTCCGAACAACATCATTAGCACAAACTTCAAGTAAAAGTGAAGTGTTCAATTTTCTCCACATATAATTCACAATTTGTCCTATAGACCTCGATCTTTACTGGTTATCGTTGGCCTATCATTTTATAACTCTTTGTTTTTATTTTATCTCCCTTTGATCTGATTCTTGGTCCTATATTTGTCCGTGATCTTTCTAGTTGATTGGTAGATGGAATCGATTTTCATATGTTTGTTGATTGCTAATTAACCTGAGTACCAAGCTTCTAAAAATTCTTTTATGCTTTTAGTATTCCCTCCATCCAAGATCTCAAGGTTTTCTCAGTCGAATGTGTGTCCGCAGTCGTCCGTATGCATTGATATACGCAAAGATATGTTGTGGCATTTGACTGCTAATTGATAGTCATGAAGGCGAAGATGAAGCGGAGTCCGCTTTGTCCGACGTAGTGTTCTTCGCAATCAACCAATCAGAAAAATCATGCACAAATATAGAACCAAGAATCAGGTCGAAGGGAGATACAATCAAAACAAAGAGGTAGAAAATGACAGGTCAACAATAACCAGTAAAGATCGAGGTCTATAGGACAAATTGTGAATTATATGTGGAGAAAATTGAACACTTCACTTCTACCTGAAGTTTGTGCTAATGATGTTGTTCGGAAAGGCAATGAAACCTCTACGAAAAAAACATATGAGTCGGAGAAAAAAACTTTCCTTCAACTATACACCTTAGCTACAAATCTCCACCATCCCAAAAGTAGGAATATTTTAAAAATGATAGTTCTTAGGAAGCGGCAGTAAATTATCTTTATGTACACACATCATACTACTGATAGCACATGAAAGTAGTTTGAATTGTGTATTTGCTTTAAGTGTTTACTTCAAGTATTCCACTGACATGTATAATAAGAGCTCCTTGAATAAAAGAACAAGAGGGAATTAAAAATTCATTTTGCTTCAGCCCCAAAACATGTAAATGATAAAGTTATGCTGATAAAAACAAAAAGAGTACATTACAACGCAGATAAGCAGGCACCAACAAAATGAAGCTGAACAAGTGAATTCGACCTTGTTTTCTAATAAATATTACAGTATACTGTATTTTTAGCCTATTTATCAATAAGCACGAGCAGTCCTACACTGAATTTAGCCTTGAACCATTGAGTTCCATGATGACCACAATAACTTCGAGTTACAATTGAGTACTCAGTTTTTCTGGTTCATTTACCATAACGACCTAAAAGTGATCGAGGTTCTATTAAAACTACTTTAGTTCAGGATCATCGAACAGATGAAGTATAGTCCAACTGTAGTCCTCTTTAATTATCTAGTGCACTTTTTAATCACTTCCTGTTTCTGCATCAAATAAAAGTGTGAAAACGACACAAGTTGGATCATTTTTATATGCCTAAATTATGACATTAGTGTACTTCGGTATTCACTTTCAAGCTTATTAGGTTTTCTCGAATTAATAAATGTGACAGAGAAATGATGACCATACAGCTGATCAAATGAACTTGTTAAAAATATAACGTCACCAAACTACCTATTCATAAGTTGATATTTGGATAGCAATTTTTGGATACTGAAAATAAGATATTTGCAATTGTTGGAGCTCATAAAGATATGAACAGATATTTGAATAAATTAATTCCACACAATGACATCAAATTCTTGAAAGAGGTTCAATCTAAACATAACAGTAAATTTCTAAAAGTTAAGATATACTGAGATCGAGAAAGGTACTGTCGAACAATACTCACTCTTTAGAAACATTTGGACCAGTAGGTACTTTACTAGAACCTGTAGAACTCTGTTCATTAATACAAACCCTGTTAATTTGCAGAAATATTCGTTTCCTTGCAGAGTTTTGCCTTCCTGAAATACATCTCTCACCTTCTACTGATGAGGACTGAGACGATTTCGTGCATGATTGGTTACCAACTGTAGTCAATTGTGATACCTGTAATATACATAAGAGTAATTTGTCAGTTTTGGGGTGTAAGTCAATACTATATGCTAGCAGATAATTTGAACTTATAAAACTATAGTGAATAAATTTATTGAGAAAAGCACGTACCTCCACAAATTTATATCCGTGACCAAGCTTTTAAAATCTACTCTTTCTAATTTAATGGGAAATATTACAATTAATGTGAGTAAACGATATTTTTAAAATTAGCGATATATTTTTACAGAGTTTTTCAAAATTTAATTTTTATTTAAAAGGGATTTCATTGATGGTGTTATTACTAAAAAGTCCTTCATAGAAAAAGAGCACTATGTTTAAATTCTGCTTACAAAGATTTTAAGATAAACTATATAAAAGTTATGACCTAAACCTATTTAAGTGGGTAGTTTTGTCAGGATTAGATTTATTTTGGTGGCATGAGAGCAAGGTCGAAACGATACCCCTCTTGGGAGTTGGAACAGAACTAGACAGTGTGAATCAATACTGTAGCTGTAAATAATTCCCCAAAATCAATAGCTCATTAAGTGTTCGACATTGGATGCTGACCACGTTGTTTAAGTGGACTTGTTTAGCTGAAGGCTTTCGGTCATGCATCCGCACCAGATCACGTTTCAATACTGCGTGGGACACAGCTCCTACGTTTCATTAGCCAGCTCATAGAAAAGGTCCTCGATATATTGGTAACGAATCAAATATATCTTTCCTGCCTATTCTCGTCCGACTTCTGATTTCTATCTGACTGGTAACAACCGAATTTAGAAGGTGCTACTGGTATCTAGTTGTAAAACTAGAATATCCGTTGCATCATCATTGGTGAACCCGACGTGATCTGGTACACCAAGTCAATATACTGTGAGTCTGTTCCATTTTGGAATATTATTATTTATTGTTATTCTTTATTTGAATTTTATATATTGTGATATACCTTTTTTTCCGGATATATTTTATTTAGACATTTTCGTTAGCTATATTACTATGACGGAACACTCACCCAAGGTTTTTAAGTTAAAGTCTATTCCCCCTATTTCGATTCAGTTAACGCCATTTTGGCCCGACAATATCGAGTCCTGGTTCTGCTATGCAGAAGCCGATTTTTGCATGCACGGAATCACGGACTCGCGCACACGTTTCCTCGCGGTAGTTAAGGCGTTACCGCGCGAGTTTAACAGGTACGTAACACCTAGTATGTTTACTAGTGATGTTTCCGAACCTTACGAATCGCTTAAGCTATCGATTTTAAAACGAGGAGACCTAACTGATCGACAACGGTTAGATCAACTCCTTAACAATATCGACTTGCAACATGGTTCTGCGACGGACATGTTGCTTAGAATGAGAGAAGTCATCGGCCAACGAACTTTCGATGATGGCCTATTTAGACAACTTTTCTTGTCTAAACTCCCTCAACAGGTGCAGGCAGTGCTTGTTTCATTTCAAAACAATGCCATAGATGAACTAGCTGCATCTGCCGATCGAATCTTGGAAATCACTAGATCTTCTAAGGCCGAGGTTTTTTCCGTCAAAGAAAAACCCCAATCGACCTCGACTGACATGGCCGAACTATGTCACACGCTCACACGATATCTTAGAGTTCGCAATGACCGTAGTCGGTCAAAAACCCCGCGTAGAAGTGTCTCACGTAAGCGATCTGGCTCTCGACCACGAGAGACAGACAATCCCGACTGGTGCTGGTATCATAACCAGTACGGTAAGTTTTCCAGAAACTGCAGGAAACCTTGCAATTATCCGACTTCAAAATCGAGTGACACGAATAAGATTTCGGGAAACTTCCCAGCCGGCACGCGTTAACGGCAACCGTAGCCGGCGAACACAGCCGCCTCTTATATGTCACGGATGTGACTACGAAAGTTCGCTACCTCGTCGACACTGGCGCAGAAGTTAGCGTTCTTCCAGCAAATCTCGACGACAGACTTCGCGAGTCTGTTTTAAGTTTACAGGCGGCAAACGGAAAACCGATCGCTACTTACGGTAAAAGGTACGTCTACCTTAACGTGGGTTTACGTAAACCCATACACTGGATTTTCGTGGTTGCAGATGTCTCTATGCCAATCATTGGTATTGACCTGTTACAACACCACAATCTACTAATCGACACACGCGCACGAAGGTTAATAGACGGAAACACTAAGTTGTCCGTTTGCGTAACTCCTTGTTCTGGTTGCAGGTTATCCCCAGTCACGATTAAGCACGCCATAGACCCCTTGTACCAAGCAGTACTCGACAAATACCCTGGGATATACCAATCGCAATCGAAATTACCTTGTGTAACCAGCAATGTTACACATCACATCTCGACTACAGGACCACCTGTATTTTCGAAAGCCCGAAGACTCGCTCCCGAAAAGCTTAGGTTAGCTAAAAACGAATTCAACCACATGATGGACCTAGGAATAATTCGACCATCGAATAGTCCATGGGCATCCCCATTGCATATGGTCCCTAAAAAGGACAGCAATGATTGGCGGCCAACTGGTGATTATCGGCGTCTGAATGCTAAAACCATTCCCGATCGTTACCCGCTGCCTCATATTCACGATTTGACAGCTACCTTGAAAGGTACAACTGTCTTTTCGAAAATCGACTTGGTTAAAGCTTATAACCAAATCCCGATGGCAACTGACGACATTCCTAAAACCGCCATCATCACTCCCTTCGGTCTTTACGAATTTCTACGAATGCCTTTTGGTTTAAGAAACGCGGCTCAAACCTTCCAAAGGTTTATAGACGACGTCTTCCGAGGTCTCAACTTCGTACATGCGTATGTTGATGACTGTCTAATAGCAAGTCCGGACAGAGAATCGCATCTCAAGCATCTGGACATTGTTTTCGATCGACTTCAAAGGCATGGCATTACTGTCAACATTCAGAAATGCCAAATCGGAACTAACTGCTTAGATTTCTTAGGACACACCATTGATGCCCAAGGCATCGGACCCCTTAGGAGCAAAGTGGCGGCCATTCTGGATTACCCAGAACCGACCACGATCAAGCAGTTGAGAACTTTTAACGGACTCGTAAGTTTCTATAGACGGTTCATACCTAAATGCGCATCCCTAATGAAACCGTTGACCGATCAGCTTCGTGGAAATGCGAAATCAATTAGTTTAGACGACACAGCCCGTAAAGCATTTTCCACAGTTAAGGAACACATCGCTAAAGCAACCTTGCTTGCTCATCAGGACAGTCAAGCGCCCATTAGTATCGCCGTAGACGCATCCGACTCAGCAATCGGAGCAGTCTTACAACAATGGGTTAACAACTCGTGGCAACCTTTAGGATTTTTCTCGAGACGGTTGCTAGACGCTGAATCTAGGTACAGCACGTTCGGTAGGGAACTCCTAGCTATGTATTGTGCTGTACGGCATTTTCAACATTCCATCGAAGGAAGAGAATTCACGCTCTTTACCGATCACAAACCTCTTACCTTCTCTTTAGGTTCATTTTCAGACAAGTACTCACCGCGAGAGTCTCGACAACTCGACTACATTTCGCAGTTTACTTCAGACATACAACATATTTCTGGAGCAAACAATGTAGTCGCAGACGCCTTGTCTCGAATTAGCTCCTTGAACAGTTTCCAAGGAATCGACCTTCTTAAACTCGCTCAGCTTCAAAAAGAAGACATTGATCTTCAGCATGAGTTATCCTCGACAACTCTTAAACTAAGTATTAGGCAGATGGGAACAGGTAAGGAAACCTTACTCTGTGACACATCTACAGGTAGGGATCGTCCAATTGTACCAAAACACTATCGCCGCAACGTCTTCAATACGTTGCACAATCTTTCTCATCCAGGTGCTCGTGCAACAATCGAACTTATAGCCGAACGCTTTTGTTGGCCTGGCATGAATAAAGACGTGAGGGAGTGGTCACGCTCCTGTGTAAGCTGTCAGAAATCTAAGGTAATCAGACACAACAAATGTCCCTTAGGTTCTTTCAAAACCCCTGACGCTCGTTTCGACCACGTCCATCTAGATTTGGTAGGACCTTTACCCGACTCGAACGGATACTCATATCTCCTAACATGCGTAGACCGTTTTACTCGATGGCCAGAAGCAGTACCGATTAAGGACATTACTGCTGAAACAGTGGCTCGCACTTTCGTCGAACGATGGGTAGCAAATTTCGGCTGCCCTTCAACCATCACTACAGACCGCGGACGCCAGTTCGAATCTGGACTTTTCCGTTGTCTGACCACACTTTTAGGAATCACGCGCTTCCGAACGACCGCCTACCACCCACAAGCAAACGGGTTGGTAGAACGTTTTCATCGACAATTAAAAGCTTCATTATCAGCTTCAAACGTTTCACAGTGGACAGACGCTCTTCCACTCGTCTTGCTAGGTATCCGCAATGCAGTGAAAGCTGACATTGGATACACGGCATCTCAACTCGTTTACGGAACGACACTCCGACTCCCAGGAGAATTCGTGGATCCTTCAGCTTCTTCATTGAACATGGATCTAAACTCTTACACGAGTAGGCTTACAAACGCCATGCGTTCAGTTAAACCTGCTCACACTCGACCTCAATCAACTGATGTTTTCGTTCAACCCGAACTACGACATAGTACACACGTCTTCGTTCGTCGAGACTCACATCGACGACCCCTCGAATCAGCATACGAAGGACCCTTCAAAGTTCTTCAACGCGAACCTAAGTACTATGTAGTCGACAAGAACGGTACGAAAGATAGCATCAGTATCGATCGACTCAAAGCTGCGTACCTAGAAGGAAACCCTAGCTACGTCGATTTTCCTTCGGTGCAAGCAAACGACACAGCTACTACACTCGTAGTACCCTACACGACAACCGACACACAACTTGATACTTCGTCAACGTTGATAGAAAAACCTAAAACAACGCGTTCTGGAAGACGAGTAAGATTTCCAGAACATCTTAACGAATATTGCACGTAGGACATAAGCTTTATCTTGAATTACCCTTTCATTGTTTATTATAAATTTTTTTTTAATATGCTCATTTTTTTTTATTTATAAAAAAAAACAAAACAAAAAAAACAAAACATTTTTATTATTATTTTTTTTGAGCGTATATATATATATTTATATATTGAAAAAAAAACCAAAAGAAAACCTTTTTTCCGATCGCTTTTACGCTGTTTGTAAGTGTATCAGTTTATTTTTTTCCCGCTCATCTTGTGTCCTTACGCAAGTACGAGTGTATTTTTGACATGCACTCACACGTTTTATTTTTCCTCTTTTCCAGGACGGCTGGAAAAGAACGACGAAGTTTCGCAAGGAACAGAAATTTTCATTGTACTATATTTCTTTATTGCTACGTTGTACATTTTGGTCCCATAGTTTAAGGAAAGACGACCAGACGCTGCTAAACGAAGCAAGCTATCAGAAGAGTGTTTACCAACGACAAATTCGTTGGGTTTAAACTTCTGGCTGGTCACGTCTTAGGGGCATCACTACCTCACTAGGGGGGGAGTGATCTGTAGCTGTAAATAATTCCCCAAAATCAATAGCTCATTAAGTGTTCGACATTGGATGCTGACCACGTTGTTTAAGTGGACTTGTTTAGCTGAAGGCTTTCGGTCATGCATCCGCACCAGATCACGTTTCAATACTGCGTGGGACACAGCTCCTACGTTTCATTAGCCAGCTCATAGAAAAGGTCCTCGATATATTGGTAACGAATCAAATATATCTTTCCTGCCTATTCTCGTCCGACTTCTGATTTCTATCTGACTGGTAACAACCGAATTTAGAAGGTGCTACTGGTATCTAGTTGTAAAACTAGAATATCCGTTGCATCATCAATACTATAATCATTAAGTTACTTAGCGATTAAAGCATCTGATTAATAATCATTCGGTTCAAGGTTCGAATCACACATCGCTCATTCACTTAACAGTAGTAAATAGGCAGGACATTATTTTAAAGAGTTCAATGCTTTAAGAGATCGTGAGCACTTTAGAGGCTGCAGTAAGTTGATGTTTAAACTGATGACTTCTACAGAACAGTTGACAGAAAGTCAATAAGATAGAATGAATCCTTGCTCTTCTTCAAATAATACCATTTAACAATTTATAAGATCCATTTTAAGAAATTCTAACCTTTAAAAGATCCTTTGAGTCTTCACTTCCTCGTAAATCTATCCGTTCTGCTCTTCTCCATTCATCCAAGCGAATTTTCGGAACGTTTAAAACCTTATCGTAATCAGAAAGTCAAGTATTATTTTGACGATTACAACAATAAGCACACAAGTCTTGTTGAAGTTGTTAAGTAAAAGAAACAGCATTAAATGATGGTATCTAAGTGGAAAATCGGATATGTTAAAAATACAATATTACTGTACTCAGTAACAGAGCTGAAATGAATGTCACGTTACAGTAGCATATTCCGATTTAATATAAACGCCTTAATAAATAATTTCTTCTGATAATTTTCATGGCTTTTTACTATAGTAAACAAAGTCCTTGTTGAAACTAGTAAGGTTACTTTCTCTAGTGAATAATTATGTCTAATTAAAAGCTGCGGTTTAATGTCTGACAAGTATAGGCACAGAAATATTTACAACATACTGAAGTTATATACCCTAAATCAAACGTACTATACCACTTTATCTAGATGAAGGGATTGTTGGGGATGTCAAATCCCCAGAACTTACTTGGTAAATGGCTTAGTTTTGTAATTTTATTTTAAAAATTTGAATTTAGCTGTTTCCGCGCCAAACGCGCTCTTTTCACCTTCACGTCATATTTCCCACTTGTAAACTATCTTAAACGCTATTGGTCCATTGTTTCTTTGTGTGTGCTATTTACCAATGATGCTCAAGGACAAATTGTTGTTGTATAAGTGCGCTTGACTTTTTCCCTTATTCGTTTTGCTTGTACTCGGCTGCTTACGGAATACATATATATTCCCCTACTTGCCTTGGACTTCTTCATCTAGTTAGCGGGGCCTGGGACAACAGATTAGAATAGCTTATCGTGTCATTGTGTCGTTGGCTTTCGTTCGTTACCGCGGAATCGATTTTGTTTCAAGCATAACAGGGATTAAAGTCATTTTGTAGAATGAAACATATTTTTCTGCAACGCGATTTTTCTGCAGTTACAAGGAGCAAAAAGTAGAATAAATTGGTTCCGTGTATAGTTTATGAGAGAAGTTTTATTAATAAACATGTCTTTACTTTTTGTTCTTCATCCTATAAAAACATATAAAAAACACTTATTTAAGTTCACCCGAAAAAGTTCCCAAATCGTTTAGGAAAACACTAACAATAGTCTAACACTAAAACTTTCCAACCAGGATCATTCATACATCAGAAAAACCAAATACATGTTTCATGAAATGATTAGTTAAGATTTGATGAATTTCACAACAATTTTTGTCTTGTGTTAAATTAAATTGTAAACTGTCAAAAATCCAGAGAGCACGGAGAAAGCTCTTTGCCATAGACCAGAAGTAGCTGATTGTAACTTCAGAACCAAGTACAGATTTGTGTACTGAGCTTTGAATCCAATTTCACCTAAGAAATAATAGCGGAAACCGTTTGTGCAAACCGTCATAAGTCAAACATAGTTTTTGTTTCCGATATGGTTGAAAAGAGGTGGTTACTAGTTTATCACGGGACCTAGCTAACAGTGCACACCTTCCGATATCAGACGGAATTAATTACAAAGTCTAAGACTATTTAGGCCTCAATTTTTCAATGACTTCACAAGTAATGTTCGTTTCTGTTAAAAATCACACGAAAGAAACAACCGACATAAATGTGTAACTTATATATAGATAAAGCATTATTAACGAGGTGTTTAAGGTATCCTAAAAGCATACCTGGTAAATTTCTGGTGTGTTATTTTCTGAAGTTTGAGGATCTAAAAGGAGAAATAAAACAAATTATGTAGTCTACATCTTTCAAATAAGACTACGTTAAACGGGTGGAAAGAGTATCTACTGACCAATGTTGTGAAAAACTAAACAGGTGTACAATGATAAGTCTTTTAGTTCGGTGCAATAATTATTCAAATTTATAAATTGCATTTTAGCTTTAAAAATTCAACTTATTTGTCTACGAAAAACAAATAACTGTTCATATATACCTTTAAAAATGGAAGCGTATTTACATTAAGTTTATCGAGAGTAATGTACAATCATTGGCGAAACTTTAATATAAGATAAAGGAGCTAGAGTATCGAGACAAAAAGCCTAAACAGTAAGTAATATCATACACTAGACGTCTCTCAATAAAACATAAGCAACATCAGAACTTTTTATTTCATTATTCATTTAGACCATAGAAGTTTTATGAACAGATGTTTAAAAATAAGCGTCAATATCTTTTCAATTGAAATAAGAGCATCAAATTTAATAATGAATGGCCAAATGTAAAGACGAAGGACTAAAGTCAGTACTGTTGAAAATTAGGGAAATTATTCTGAAATTTCATTTACGGTTCAATACAACTTTGTCTGGTAACAATTTTACAAGTAGCATGTTAAGAATGAATATGTCTTATAGTTGTTTTCGTTCGTAGAAGATTGTGGTGCTTTAACTATAAAGCTTTATTTCAGTATATCTCAGATCATCAGTAGATTATCTTGGCACCACACTTGACACGTCAGAACTTGTAAATTTACCAGAATGTCCTGAAAAATTAGAATGAATAAAGCTTAAAACCCCTCTTTAATGTTCAAAAACTGCGTTTTCATGCGTAATTTTGAGTCAATGTGCAGTACAGCATTTCTAAAATCCAATAGATAAGACACCATTTTATAGGAAGTGACCACTCTTCGTCTTTATTTTCATTCTATTTTATAGAGGCTGTGACCCATGTCCTTTGAGAAGTCACATATAAGTTTTATTTGAGTTATAGCATCTTTTGTAAGCCTTAAAGAGAACCAATGATTCAAACTTATTTTCATCGAATATGCTATCGTACACAGGTAACTTAAAACTCGAAAATATCTCGACCAAGTTATTAGAAGCATATAATTAGTTGAAACTAATTAAGATGCCTTGATAAAGTTAGAAACGTCCATATACCACTCTATAATACAGAATAAAGAGTTAATTAATCTATCGACACACAAAGACTTACTACCGAGAATGGAAACATCACTGATGGAGTATGAAGTAACTGAAAGCTCAGATAAATAGCAAAATGGGTAGACCGTGATGGTTTTCAGCTTCTTAAGGCCATTTTGAACATTTAAGTCGTGTATAAAAGAAAACAAATCAATTGTAAGATTTAACCACTAAACAGTGACAAAAAAATTAGAATATATGATAACAAACCACTGATCTTAGAACCGTAGATAAAGGAACCATCACAGTAAACTTCTTGATGGATAAGGACTGAATCTTTGTAGAAAAAGTGAAGATAAGTGGTCTTCTTTCGTTGGTAGAAAACCTGCTTCAATGCAAACGTGTTAAACAATGTTTACTTTAGATCGAACTTAAAATCTTGCTCGTTGGATATAAATATGCGAAATATTAAAAACCGATACAAGATCCTCGCTAAATACTATTGAGACGTATTAACACTACGTACAACACATTTTCTCATACATGAATTCCAAATGCGTCGACTGTTGAGATGTGGATAATTTCACAACTTGAGTGCGGAGAAGATTTGATTTGACCTAAAAGATAAGACGAACTCGTAAGCAAACCAAAGATATGTTCGAAGCGCCAGATATATGACATCTGAAAAAAGGATTCATTGAATTGGCTTCGAATAAAACGCGTTTCTGCATGATGAAAGTGAAGTAATATATCGACGTGGTGGAATTAGTTGAAAAATCTAAGACCATACAGTGGTTACTAGATGCATGATGTGGAAAGGAGTTTTATGCTTAAGTTAACCGATATAGCCATAAGCAGATATCCCTTGATGAGTTCAGAGACTGTTTTGTACAGTTTGAAATATGATTGACCTTGGAAACTATCAAAAACAGGTGTTTTATTATTTACAAACACTTACGACCTTTTCGGCGATATCGTGGCAGGATCTCATTGCTTTCCATCTTATTTTTTGCACTTTAGTGGGAAAAAATATCATGGTCAGTGCTTTTTAGGTACTAGGGCAAATTTTTATATCCTTGTTAGTAAAGTTATTAATCCTCAGCCAATCCATTCACTAACTTGGACCATTTTCATTTCGAAAGTCACTGAGCTCTGAATGGTTTACTAAAAATCATCAATGTATAACAAGACTGACATTGATTTTGATCTTATTGCTATTACTGGACACTCGAGCTGAAGGCTCTCAGTCACGCGTGAGCACTAGACAACCAATTGGATCGCCGCCCAACTAATCTTTCACAAAAACTACCCAGCTTAGCTCACACATTCATCAACATCCCGACTATCTTCCAAATATACTTCCGAACGCCTTCATTCCTCACCTCTAGTTTGACTGGTTTCGGAATCCTTTGATTACAAAAATGTTGCGAATGGCAGCATCACCAAGCCCTTGTCATTTGTGACATCTTTACTACCAACTATTCTCTAGTTTTTTCTACCATAATACATTTATTTAGCTAAATTTTTAGTTCAACTAGTTACCAAGGTGGTTGATTCACCTGATTACAATGATAGGCCAAACCATGTCAATCAAGCACCTCTATTTTTGCCTTTGATATATTCTAGGAAGCCTCATAATACCCGGTTAACCCGGGTAGATCACAACCACTGGCACAGATCACGTACATTTATTTACCACTAGCCAACTCGAGCATAACTAAACTGTTTCGAGTGTGTGCATGTATTCACAGACCGAATAAGGGGCGCTTTCGTTCAGTGAGCTTCTTTGTTTTTAATAACTATGGATCACTAATGTCCCTGTGTAGGGGGAAAAACACGAAACTCTTCGCAGTAAAGCCCTATAAAATTATTGATGAAATTTACTGTACCCATCAATTTTTAAAGTGTGGTTCAAATAACTGGCTCAATTTACCTCGTCAGTAATAAATTAATTGGTTGCAAGGCACGTTTACCCACAGTTCAATCCCTCATACGTTGCGTCGGGCTTCCAAGTATTCCACTTGATGCTTATGTTTGGATAGGATTTACGGAAATATTTTAAAGTGTAGCTAATTACAAAAATCATGCGGTTAGCTGACCCTCTACAACATTCCAGTTGATTTCAATGAATTGAGACCGTTAATACAAAATTATAACTAACATCATTGTATCGAGTGTAGTCTAAATTTCTATGCAGTCAACGGTTTTTAGCATCATAAGTAACTGGATAAAGTATAGCTACCGAAAGTATATGACAAACTTAAAGTGAGGTATCATTATCTAAAGTAACAGTAGTATAGGGAAGCACAACCGTTGAGTGAAGATAAAGTAACTGAGCGCCCAACAATCTTGTAAAAATGGAGGCACATCCATAGGAGGAGTTAACTGATATACAGTTATATTGTTATTCAGAACACAGCTCATTATTATGTCGGCAATTCAAAGTAATGATATAACAATGGCATTGCTTCAAATGACAGTGAGGCCCGTGATACATGCAAAGTTTCATGTCATAATGGAAACAAGGGAAAAATATCCACCACACATCATAATAATACTACGTTGAAAATATATGTCATGTCTAAGTACAAGAGGTTTGTAACCTACTTAAATCCAGGAAACTGGATTTATTAGTCAATCTATAGGGACCACCAATCAGAAGTGGTAACTGTAAGATGCTTTTTAAAGATGTTGTGTATAAAAATCCTTCCACTTATTTATTTAATGTAAATGTCAACAACCACCAACCGAGCCACGCTGACTTCCTGAATTTAGTTCAACACGACCTCGTCATCAGTGGTCCTGCAAAATGCATCAGTACAATTCAGCAACCAAAGATAAATTATTAAGCATGGTCAAATGATAGAAGTTCAGGCATGGAGGACTGAAGAACACACAATGTGTTTAAAAGAGACCTGAATACATGTTGGAATATTAGACGGAAGAAAGAAACGAGTTAATGGAAACACTGCCCAGTAAAATGCCTTAGAAGGGTTTCCAGAGTGTTCTTTCCGTTAAAATCATGAATGGTTAATTTATTACCGCAAAGGTTGTATGCTAGTTTTTCATTGCAAGCTACCATGTTATTGAAATGTTTAATATTGCTTCCAACATTGAATCGTGCTACATCTGGTTGGGGTATTGTTATATTAAGGTCATGAAAGGAGCTAAAATATTGAATCATTGTATGTTTTGATCATTTCTGAACTTTCACATAGTACATGTGCAATACGGCCGAGCTTGCTTTCCCATTCTTATTATCAAGGTAATCGGTATTTTTAAGAAAATTTGAGACTCTTGATTTGAAATATTTATTTGTTGTATGTTGCGGTGGAGTTACAAAATTTGCGGCATTAAATGTCGCATTAATATGGTGACTTGAAATGAAAAACTAGCACATAACCTTTGCGTCAATAATTAACTCTTCACGATTACGGGAACAAAAAATCCCTAACACAGTCAACTCATCATTACACCTCGATGAGAAACCGAGAATATTTTACTCTATCCCACATTAACCAACATCAATAAAATATATGCATTACGAAGAAACATATTGAGATCATCAACATCTCCACCAAAGCCATAAATCAAAAGAGACAAACTGTCAAACGGAGTATCAATCACGACCTATACAGATAACCAAAGCAAGACATATTACATTATTAGTGCACGCCCCTTCATAGTAAATGGGATGACTTCAAACGAATATCACTTATATCAAATTTTGTCAACATGGTGCATGCAATATACTTCTCACATTTGTGTAGAACATTTGAGTTCCATAAGATGTACATACAGATGATGACTGATATTTGCTCCACATTCGAAAGCCGTTCCATTTCGTACTCTTAAAACAGGTTGATGTATCAAATAAGCTGTTCCTGACAAAACAACAATCTATCACATAGGTTTGTGGATGGAAGAATAATCAACTGTCAGTTTGGTGAGACGTCTCATATTTTATTAGCTCGCGTCATGATCTACACACTTCTTGTGGAATAACCGTACTTATAATGCGTGTTAAATCAAAAGCCTACTAGGTCTTCTTAAACTTAGATTATTTCGGTGAGGTTTAGAAGTTTATGCAGATCCATTTTTTGACACTTCGTTTTCACATGATTTTACGCTAGCTTGTAAATTGTGTATTCTTGTCGATTTCTTAGAAGTGGACAAAATCATTGGAGAATGTTTACCTCTACAGATTATGAACAGTATGTACTCACTCATGTCAACACTGAAAATGGATGCATAGCGTTGATAAATTTAATAAGACCTTCGCATAATCACAGGTGATTAGAGATCCTGAAAATTGTCTGAAATGGCTGTTCTCGCATATAAAGATGTGATTTCAGAGGCGTGGAGGATTTCGCCTCTTCGGATACAGAGGCATCAGTTGATACTGAAAAAAAGTGATGTGGCATAGATGAAGCTATATCAATATATATTGACAAAGTACTTTCTACTGACGATGGTGAAAGATCGACAATTAATTATAATAATATCATATAGTTGATGGATTCTCTGATTATTGGGAGACTGTCTTACGATTATTTCAACATGTCGAACCAGATAAATCCAGTGGTCCCGTCAGATGTCCACTCTGGTATAATGAAAGCCTTGGTTGACCTAGTCGTCAAACCTACCGCAATACTATTTCATATGTCGCTCAGGAAGTATGAACTGTCAAGTGATCAAAAAAATGCAGTTATTAATATAGTTTATAAGCCGGGGAGTAGAAACTCAATTGGTAACCGTCAACCCCTTTAGTTTGACCAGTGTAGTCATCAAAATAATAGGAAAGGCTGTTGGGATGCCTATTCTAAACCATGTGGAACGGAATAATTTTTTAGTTGGGGAACAACATGGTTTTAGGAAATGCCCTTCGTGTTTGATAAATCTCACATCATGTAAGATCTAAATCTAAATTCCAAAAGGTCTGGATGTGGTTGAGTAACTACAGTAAAAGTTTAGTACTCGTTTCAATCGAAATCAGAACAAGGTGTTTTGGAGTAATAACGGTTCCAAATTTCATCACATATACAAATGTACAAATTTACCTAAACAAATATTACTACCAAGTTATTCAACCAACAATTGATACCAAAATATTCAATCTAAATTACAATGAATAGCAAAGTGGTAAGAAATATATGAAAATTACCGAAAACACTAAAAGGTGAGTGTTATTCTATCCTTTCTGGATAGATCAAGTAAGATTCCGTTTGAGCGGCTGTTTTATAACACAAAGTGTTTCAATTTCTGGGACAGTGCTCCAAATTACAACCAAAAATGCACGATCCCAGTCAAAACCAAACCGCACAATCAAAGAGCAAGCAGTCAACATGGCAGCCGCCAGAATAATAGCAATTAAAACAAACTAGATACAGTTCAGTAAGGAACATAGAGACTCAATAAAAACGATAAGAAAACCAAGAAAGTTAAACGTTACGGTCTTAATTAGCGTCAAAAGAGTTAACGATATATACAAATAAAGAAAACGTAAGGAAGAAATCACAAATGTATGCATGGAGGGATTTTCACTTCCAAAATGAATCTAACATATCGTGTATGTGAAGTATCGACAACGTACATCATGTTATGGTTGTATTATCGCATTTATTCTCCTGCTACTAATCAGTGTCTCGTTTTCTTAATACATTTGTAATTTACAGTCACAATTTTAGCTGCGAAAACCGTGAACATGTTTTGTAGAGTTTAGAATGACATTGTGACCTGCAATTAATGATACATATATATATATATATATATTTCTTACCTTAAGCTT